TCTCAGTTTTCCCCGGGCCGGCGCGGTGACAGTCCTGCCGGCGGCTCTTCCAGGCGCTCAGATCCGGCCGTCCCCCTGCCTGCCCCGTCCCGGAGGAGCGTCGCGCTCCTTCGGCCGTAGTGCTGCCCCGGTCCTCTTCGGGGGTGGGTCTCCGGTGCACCCGGTGCCCTGATTGCCACGCTGCCACTCGTGCCTCCTTCCGTTACGCCGCTCTGGGGACCGGGAGCCCGCGGCAGGAAGGGAGGGCCTTGCTTGGGGCATCTGCCCGACGGCGGGCAGAGGACCGCCTGACAGTCCGGCCGTGGCCAGCGCTGTGCTTCAGACTCACCTCCGCTTAGAGGAGCGCTCCTTCTCTGTGCTTGTCTCCGCTTTAGTCTGCTGGACTTCGGGAACAGTAGCTGCTGACCCCTGTCGGTTGGGTTTTGAGTGGCCCTTTAATACTTAGTTCTGGAATTGGACATCAGGGGCGAGGTGGGCGGGGCGAAGCTAGCATCTGTGACCACAACATACATAGGATTTCTTAGTTTTAAGAGTGGTCATGGCGGCTGGGCGTGATGGCGCACGCCTTTAGTCCCAGCACTTGGGAGACAGAGGCAGGCGGATCTCTGTGAGTTCGAGGGCAGGCTGGTCTACATAGTTTGTTTCAGGCCAGCTGTAGCTACAGGGAGACCCTGTCAAAAAGCCCCCCCCCCCAAGAAAACAGCGGTTATGTCCAATGGTGATTTGAGTTACAACTTTTTAGTCTGTGTCTGATAGGTCTAGTCACATTATGCACCTGGTTGGTGAGATGTTAGTCCATTTGGAACATGACAAGGGCACCAGCATGCTAATTAGAACGTATTAGACCTCTTGTTATAGGACATAGGGTGTATATTTCATAAAACACAGCAACCTTGGGGTAGCAATTTTCCCTATTTTATAAACTACTCACATTAAATAATGAATAAAATTAGCCTCGAGGTTCAAATGTTGAGTGTTTAACACTCACTTTCGTTATAAACAAAAGCATTCCTATTGGCACAAACGCTCTGTCGCGTAGCAGGTATAATCTTTACAACACTGGTGACTTAAAAATATTTCTTTGAGGGGCTGGAGAGATGGCTCAGTGGTTAAGAACACTGGTTGTTCTTGCAGAAGATACAGTTTCGAATCCCAGCACCCACATGGCAGCTAACAACTGTCTGAAACTCCAGTTCCAGGGGATCCAACAGCTTCTTCTGTCCTCCGCCGGCATTGCACAACACAGGTGCACTTACCTACACACAGGCAATACACACATACACATAAAATAAAAATAATAAATATATTTCTTTGAGTGTTTTGAGGTTTACAGAAAAGTTGCAAGATAATACAGAATGTTGCACCAGTACTTTAAAAAAATGTGTAGTGAAGCCAGGCTTAGTGGTAGATGCCTTTAGTCTCAGCACTTGGGAGACAGAGGCAGGCAGACCTCTGTGAGATTGAGGCCAGTCTGGTCTGCATAGCAAGTTTCGGCCCAGCTGGGGCCACAAGGGAGATCCTGTCTCAAAAATAAAAATTAAAAATGTTGTATCGGTATTTGCCTTCATGTATTTATGTGCACCATGTGTGTGCCTGGTGCTAGCAGAAGAGGTGTCAGATCTCCTGGAAGGAGAGTTATAGTTGGTGCTGGGAACTCAACCTGGGTCCTCTGCAAGAGCAGCAAGTGCACTGAACTTCTGAGCCGCCTCTCCTTTGGCACTGGTACCTTTTTAAGTAAAGCAGTGTCTTCACTTCAAAAAAAAAAGTAGTTCTGCTTTGTGCCAGTCATCATTCTGGGTGGTGGAGCAGGCACGTGCTTAAGTGATTTGGGGATCTAGTTCAGGAAACAGATATCTTAATAAATGTATTTCCTCCTAAGCACTAAGTAGAGATTTGGAACAGAGGAAATTACACTTAATTGCCTGACCCGGAGCTGTAAAACCTTGCAGGAAACTGAATTAGGTAGCAAATTTAGGAAGTGTTCACTTGGTCAAGGGGGTCATTTCCCCAACATTCATTCGGAGGCTTGTCTTAGTGGAGAAGGACTCTAGTAGCATAGAGTCCTTATTTGCTTTTTTAAAATTCCTCATCTCCTTTAAGAAAGTGGTTTGTTAATTAAGTGATGAGAAGAATCCTAGTTTATAAGTTCACGAGTAAGAGTAAGTTAAGCTGTGTAGTTCTAACTGGTACCTCAGCATTCTTGGCAATAATTGATGTTGGGTGTTTAGGAATGTAAGGTAGTATTCCACAGAGACTTTTCTTTGCAGCTGTAGAATTAATTCATTCAGGAAATATTGCTTGCTTTATGCTAGTCATTGCACTAGGTAAACAGATGAACTGGGCAGTGGGGAGTATAGACAGTAGTTGGCATTGGCAGTATAGTCTGGTATTGGTACAGGTATTCTCTGGGTGCATGGTGTCACAGTGCCGCTCCTAATTCTTTGTTGTCCACTGTAGAAATGGACTTTGACTTAAACAGAAGAGACACTAAATGGAAGATTGTAGATAGCTTTCAGAATTAGAGGGGGAGGCTGAAGAAATGGGTTTGAAGAGAGACAGGGTGGTTGAGGCCTCAGCCCAGGTCATATCCTATAAGTGGTCTGGATAGAATTTTGCTCCTGACAGTATTGCCACTGGAGAAGCTGCCACCTTTGTTGATGGACTCTTGATTACTGAACAGGAAAATTTACTGCTCCTACATCTTTGTGACATTTAAAGTTCCAAGCAGGAACATATAATCTGGTGTACTTTTCAACAAAGACCCACACAGCAAAGGATTCCTTCAAAATAAGGTAGCCCTAAAAGAAAAAAGTCCAGCATTACTGTTACCAATCAGCTTGCTGGACTGCTGCTGTTCTACCCTGTTAAGCATTTTGGATAGGCAGGGAGAAGTGACATTTCAAGTGCTGGCCATTTGCAGCCTCTGTATATATGTGAGCATTTGACAGCAGTGAGTGAAGGCACAGCAGATGGTACCTTTTAGTGTGGCAGGTCTTGTGCAGGCCCCAGGTAGCAAGCCCCTTAGCTCTCTCAACCAGTGTTATGGTCTTTGTATAGGCAAAGGGAGTCCCAATTCCTCAGCTCCTGGCAGCAACTGTCATTGCAACTTCTGAGTGGGCTAGGCATTGGCATTCCTCAGCCCTGAATATCTGAGATGTTTGTCCCTAAAGACTCAACACCTTTCTGGAACTCTTCCAAGGATTTGGGTTTGCAGTTCTCTGCCTGTTTATAGTCAAATTGATGTCCTTCAGCCCAAACTCTCCTCCTTTTCTCTATTTCTGCTGTCTCTTGGTCCTGCCTTGGCACCTCTCTCAAACTATCTGTTCCTTACTGCCGTGGCCACTGTCAGAGTTGCTGCTATTTGGGAGGCAGCTGCTTCCGCTGCTTTCTGCTGCCATAGTCACTGGTCCTGTGGCTCTGCCTCTTCAGCTGTCAGTGTAGCAGGCTGCTCTTCCACCTTTGTAGCGTGGCGGGCGGACTGCTCATCTTGGCCACTTCAGCTGACAAGCAGCAGGCTACCTTGCTGTTTTTGTAGGTTGGTTTGCTGACTGTTCAGCTGTGCCTCTTCTTTAGCTGTCAGGAAGCTGGCCACTTTACCACTTCTGCTGCTCAGAATGTTGGCTGCTTAGTTGTTACTTTAATACTGCTTCGTTCATGTCACCAGCTTAACCTGTTCTATGTAAAGAGCACTCAAGAGAAGCCTTTTCTAGGGCCTAATGGTACAAACCAGGGCAGGAACAGAAGCTTGTCTCCCAGTTCATCAAGTGAGCGGAACAGCCAGCGTATATAGCCAGAGATGTGTGCACCAACCACAGCACACCTCATGTAATTAAGTTTGTATTCATGCAAATACATAGTACTGCCTTTGTTGCTATACTCAACAGTGATCTCTGTTAGGCACCAGGGGACATATTCTCCCCCAGGTCTAGTTTGAAATGATTGTAGACTTCAGTAAGTCTTGCGATAGCAAAGAGCGTGGGACATCCTGAAATGGTTCTGGCTGGGGCTGCACCTTTGGGAGCCAGAGTAGGCATGGATGATTATAGTTTCCTCAGAGTGTTCATGAAGTATTCAAAAAGACAAATGGACTACAAGGGTAGTCCTTCTGACTGACACCACTTTAGCGCAAGGCAGCCAGGGCAGCAAGGGAAACCCCAGCTGTCAACAGTTAGGCACACAAATTTGCTCCATGCCTCAGGATCTTTGCTTATTTACAGGAAAATTAGCACCAGGAGTGGTTACAATAAGAACTTACCATTAATAGCGATTTTAGCATACCGTGCTCTGTCTTATGGCTTCATAACCCAGAGAGGAATAATGCCCAAAGAATGGGTAGGAACTAGCTAGAAAAAGACATAGGATGAGTAAATTTTAGATAGAAGACTTGAAAGAGTAAAGAGGAACATTTCAGGAGTTAAGAGGTATATTTAAGGTAGTTGGGTCATGGAATATGAACTGTGAAAGATGAAGCTGGAGAGACCCCTCTGAAGAGTGTGAGTAGCCTGGTGACATACACAGACTTTTATTACTGTTATGTTAACCACTTTGGTTGTAACCATGGAGACTGACGGGTGTGGTATAAGCGTGGAGGAGAGGTTATGTCTTGGAGGCTGTTGTAGTTATTCTGAATAAGCTATCCCAGTAGTCTGAACGAGGATACTTGTCTGGGAGGTGGGAGAAGGGAATGGATTATATCAGTTTATAGAGTGGATTTTGAAAA